TAGCGCCGCCCCCCCCCCACCCCCCCGGAATGTCCCTGCCTTGTCTGCCTTAGGACAGCAGCTTCCTTACCCACCTTCCGTCCCTTTCAGGTTTCCTGCTGGACTTCATTTCCTGCCCTGTTATTAAAGGGTTTACCTTGGCGGCTTCCGTCACCATCAGCTTCAGCCAGGTCAAGGTAGGAACTTCTCCTGCGGCCTCGTCCTTTTTTCTAATGTACCTTGCCCACTGGCCTTAATGCAGCCTTGCAAAATGGCCATGAACGTTGACCAGCTGTCCAGGCGACGTGCTCAGCTCGGTGCGGAGTTGATCCCGGGAAGGCTACTTCACCGGCCGCTCAAACAAGCAAGCAAAGAGTTGCTCCCGGGCAGTGCACTAGAAAGATTTCGCAAGGCGGGTGCGATGGGTAGAGCCCAGCAAATCCGCGGATCTCGGGGACCCACCTCTGCGGAGGTGGAAGCAGATCTCTGCAGCTCCTGTTTGCTCCTGGATGCGGATGTAGACACCAGTGTTGTATCTTGAACCCTGCAAATCCCTGGGAGTCTGCTTTACGCCCGAGAGGATCCACCTCCGCAGAGGCGGGTGCAGATCTCCGCAGCTCATTTTTACGGATGTGGATACAGATTTTGTCTCTGGAACCCTGCAGACCAGCGGATATCTGCTTTATATCCGCGGTTCCCCGTCCCCGCTGACGGCAGCGGGGATATCTGCTTTATATCCGCGGTTCCCCGTCCCCGCTGACGGCAGCGGGGATATCTGCTTTATATCCGCGGTTCCCCGTCCCCGCTGACGGCAGCGGGGATATCTGCTTTATATCCGCGGTTCCCCGTCCCCGCTGACGGCAGCGGGGATATCTGCTTTATATCCGCGGTTCCCCGTCCCCGCTGACGGCAGCGGGGATATCTGCTTTATATCCGCGGTTCCCCGTCCCCGCTGACGGCAGCGGGGATATCTGCTTTATATCCGCGGTTCCCCGTCCCCGCTGACGGCAGCGGGGATATCTGCTTTATATCCGCGGTTCCCCGTCCCCGCTGACGGCAGCGGGGATATCTGCTTTATATCCGCGGTTCCCCGTCCCCGCTGACGGCAGCGGGGATATCTGCTTTATATCCGCGGTTCCCCGTCCCCGCTGACGGCAGCGGGGATATCTGCTTTATATCCGCGGTTCCCCGTCCCCGCTGACGGCAGCGGGGATATCTGCTTTATATCCGCGGTTCCCCGTCCCCGCTGACGGCAGCGGGGATATCTGCTTTATATCCGCGGTTCCCCGTCCCCGCTGACGGCAGCGGGGATATCTGCTTTATATCCGCGGTTCCCCGTCCCCGCTGACGGCAGCGGGGATATCTGCTTTATATCCGCGGTTCCCCGTCCCCGCTGACGGCAGCGGGGATATCTGCTTTATATCCGCGGTTACCCGTCCCCGCTGACGGCAGCGTGGATATCTGCTTTATATCCGCGGTTACCCGTCCCCGCTGATGTCAGTGTGGATATCTGCTTTACATCCGCGGTTACCCGTCTCCGCTGATGTCAGTGTGGATATAGCTTATTCTTGCAGATACAAATTTTGTGTCCGCCCAGGGCTCTGGCAATGGGGTGAGAACCTTGCCCTGCCATGGTGTCTCCTAGTGGGTCCCTCACCCCTCCCAGCGCTCAGAGCGTTCTCAGTGGAGGGGCAGGTGGAGGTGTTGTTCTGCAGGTAAACAGGGGAGATACATCCACTCCCATTGGCTGGGTTTCCAGAGGGACTTGGTAATTAGGGACTCGGCCAAATCAAGCTGCATGCTTCCCTTGTACGTGCGCCCGCTGGGGTGGGGGGTGAGGACGCTGCGGGACAATCCGTACCTCTGACTGCTGTGTGATTTTACTCTGGGGGGCTGGGATTGGCTGGGAGGTTTGACTGGTCGGCGGCTTGGCCAATCCTCTCCGTTCCATGGGGTGGTTTTATTGCCCCATTTCCTTTGTGGTTGACCATACTCAGACAGGGATGTGGGTCAGCGTACGCTTCGCAAAGGAAAACGTCGGCTAATCTCACGGTTTCATCAAGTGCTCTGCCTGGGAGGGACCGCAGAGAGCCGTCAGCCGCAGTCCCTGTCAGCCTCTGGGGACGTGTGAGACTTCGGGGGGGGGGGCGCAGCGGGACAGTCGGGGTCAAAGCAACCAGCCCGGCTCGGTTCTGGTTGGGCCAGGCTGTCTGATTGGGTGGGAAGCAGGACTCGGTCACTGTGGGCTGGGGCCATGATGGATGAAAGCTCCCAGGCAACGTTCCCACAAATCTTTTCTGTCCATGTGTGGAATAATTTTGTTATGTGCGACACGGTAACCACCAGTAGGTACGGAAACCAAGCCGTAGGCGCTCTGGGGTGGCACTGGACGCTCCCAAGCACCCAGCTTACAGGGGACACTGCCAGGCTGTCGGTCCAGTGCCGTGCGGCTTGGGTCCGCCGCGGGGGGCACCTGTCGGGTGCATTGGGAGTGGGGGTCTCTGCTGGACTTTCACGGGGCCTTCGTGTGTTTGCACAGAACATCCTGGGGCTGCACAACGTTCCGCGACAGTTTTTCCTGCAGGTGTATCACACCTTCCAAAGGCTCGGGGAGACCAGGTCAGCAGACAGCCCGGTGCCCTTCCCGGCCCGTTGCTTCGCCAGCACCCTGTCGTGGCTGGGCCGGACGGGGCAGGGGGTCACAGGGCTGGGAAAGGCGCTTTTAGTGACACCGGGTGTGAGCAGGCTCCGCCCAGCAGCCCCTGCCAACACAGAGCGCTGCCCCCGCCCGCCGTCGGGCCTGGGGACGGACGGGTCAGCA